TTCAAAATTATAAATTTTATACATATTTGAACGTAAAAATAAATATATATATGTATGACATTTACCGTGAATCTGCCGTTGCTCCAAAGTAAAAAATTTTTTGACGAAGTCAACATATATTTTTTTAATATATCAATTTAATATCAATTTCTGGCAGATTGCATCTTAATATTATAATATGGTTTTTTTATAAAAGTGACCCGGTGGGTTACATGACGCGTAAAAAAAATTTTTTTTTTGAAATTAACGTTTTTTAATTTTTTCATCTCAAACATAACATAACTTACTTTTCAGCTAAAACAAAATGTTACGAGTATTTTTATTGTAAATCCTCTGAATGGTCTATTCAAGGATTTTTAGATGAATGCAAATTAGAATCACTCAAAATAAAGATTGACTGTTATATCAAGTGCCTTAAGACGATTGTGAATAGTGGGAAAGGAAAAAGGAGAGAAACAGCACAAGCGCTATTTGATAGATATAGAAAGGCAAATATTCAGGTTTTTTTATTATAATTGGTGGCGTAGCGAGGACCTATTAGCTTCTTGTCATTCAAAACTACTAGTTGAGCCACGAAGCTGGTGTTAGGGCACAGATGATCTACTAGATTGTCTGATATTTAAGACTACTAGTCGACTTAATACCAGCCCCATTAGGCACAGGTAATCTACTAGTTTGTCTGTTGTTCAAGACTATTAGTCGACTCAATGGGATGGAATGGAAAATCTGATGCATGCTACTTGAATATATCATTAATTCCAAATTTTCTATGCTAATATGGTAAGCCAGATCGCTAATAAGCAAAAGAATGGAGTAATAAGCGCACGAGTGAGCATAGATCAGCACCTGTTTACGTTCACAATCCATCATTTGGGATTAGGAATATTAACGGTGGAACTGGAAATATTGAAGGTGGAATTTTCTCTAGATTGTTCATATCAAATAGAAGCAATCAGAAAAAGGTATATACTTGCATTTTTTGTCTAGAAATTTAGAATCAAAGAATAATTTTTGCATTTTAATTTTTTAGGATGATTATGATGAAAGTGACAAGATAGATAATTTCTTTAAAAGTTCCTCCAAAAAAAAATCGTCCAAACTGTTTTTGTAAAAAATAAACAATTCAGCCAAGTAACGGCGGAAATCAAGCAATATAGTCAACGAGAAAGACAAGGTCAGTTTCATATTGAAACAAATTGTTCTGATGTAATGATGTATAACTATTCATAACAATCAAAAGACTGAATAATTGCTAATCGGTGAGATTTTTTCTAGGCTGAGTCTGAAGCACATGACTTCATTTCTAAGTTATCAGATGAAAATGATGATTTGGAATACAAACCCAGGTAATTCTTTAGTTGAATTTCTTCGATTTTTTTCTTAAGTTCACAATTCACTTCTATTCATATTACAAGTGATGTTGAGGATCCTTCACTATTGCTGACATCTTCACAGTTCACGCGTTTTGATAAATCCTACGCAAAAATGAAAGAGACTTAAAGTGGATTCTATCATCTGAAACGTGCGTCGAGGATTTTATCTTCAAACATTGCAATAAATTATCAGCTGAATTTATAGATCATTGATTTGGATTATCAGAAGGCAGAGGTACTATTTACAGCTGAAGAATGAAAATAATTATGCTGTGAAGTCAGAAAGTTACCAGAGGTTAACGAAACCTTTGTTAAGTCAGTAATGCGATTTGCCGATGTAAGTTGAAGATGTAATCATTTTTTTTTTAATTTTTCT